GGGGTAAAGCCACAATTCGAAGCATTCCCTTTTCTGTTTTTGTTTTTGTTTTTGCTTTTGCTTTTTATTTTACTGAGATTTTGTGGACCAATTTACAAATAACTATGTCCTGGTGTATGACCCAAGTTTAGGTTAAGACCACATGACCATGACTTCAGACCATGGACATCTTTACTCCAGGCAGCTTCTACACAGAAACCATTCAGATTCATGTGTGTCCGGCCCAAACCCAACCCGAAGGAGGCAATTTATCAGGTCCGAGCTCCTGGCTTACGTGGGAATGACCTGATCTTCTCCGAGCACAGAGTGGCTGGAAAAAGTAGAAACCACCCAGAAAACGTGCAGAACTTTAAGCTCCATTACAACTAAGTTAAACAGCAAAAAATTGGCAGTTACCTCTAATTTATGTACAATCACAAGTTTACCATGGGTTCTTTTTAAGTTGAAAAGAGCAGAAGTCCTCCGACAGATAGATGGACGGATAGAATTTCCTGGCTTCTCAGCCCCTTGTGCCCTCTACCCAGAAACCTGATCCTGGGACCCAATCCTCTCTGGGGGAATGAACAGGGCATCAGCGTTACTCAGGCTGACTCAGAAAGTCCACCTGTCCCCGATCTGAAACAAAAAGTCTTGTCTGCTTTGACGCAAAACCCCACTAACAGACTTAAAGGAACAGATAGTTGGAGATCCTATTTTTCCAGGAGAAAGAAAGAAGTTAATTACCAGGAGAAACAGAGAAATTCCCACACTCAGCCTCACTCTACACCTCTTCTCAATGCCCTCATATTCCACTCTCTCAAAAGAGATCACCCAAGATCAGACTAAGTCCCAACATCTCCCCACTCTTACAGCCTAATGATTAAATTGTTAGGGAGTCAGACCATGGGGAGGCCAACCCGGGGAAGACACATGATACAGGTGCAGAAGTCTCCTGAGTTAAACGTTTCTCCCTGTCAAACGACGTCATCTCCTGCGTTTTCCTCCACCACTAACCTCCCACCACTCCACACCTTTTGTCCCTGGTGGTCGCCTCTCAACATTCACCTGTCTGTCCTCAGAAGGCTGAGGGCCGATTCACTAACGCCTAAAAACTCCCCATATCTTCAACCTTCCTTCTCTGAAAGCCACCCCACCAGAGAGTTCCCAGCTGCCACAGGAGGAAAGATGACTCTATACTAGGGCAGAAGTATGGAAGCTTACATGGTGGGACACTTCCCATATGGGAACTTACACAGGGGCCAAAGACAAGCTCAAAGCGGGGGCTCAATGTCGTGGCAGAAGAGATTCAGAAGGAAATATCTGGTAGCTGAGCCCTCCCTGCACCAACACGGCAACCATCATAGACCTTTTGAAGATCCAGATGGCCGAGTCTGTGCTGAGACATGACGCACCCTCACACCTCGAGGCCGCCAAGCAACGAGAGCAGAGCTTGCTGGAATCAGACAGCGGGACCCTGAAGGACCACTCTGACAGCTCCCGGGGAACACAGTGGTAGCACACAGAGCCCCAAAGGCTGCCCTTTCGTGGGGCTTCGGGATAGAGGATCACTCAGAGAGGAATGGGATTCAGGCTGGGGGCTCCGTCAACTTATGTAGCTTTACTGGTACTGAGATCAGGTTTTACATTCTAAATTCAACAAAAAACAAACCAAGAACGCAACTCACTGGCAAGCAGAATTCCTCAAAGGCAGGCTTGACGAACGTAATGTACTGAGATAAAATCTGCTCAAGGTCCCTCCCTCTTTCGCTGATGTCCCTTAATACTATAAGAAAAGGAAAAACAAGAATCAAGAAAATGGTGCACGAGCCAACACATGTCTGCCCTTCAGGAGGCAGACCCAGCTCACACGGACTCCACGATTGATCTGGATGATTCACAGCCCGGATTCCCGAGAGACTTGACCAAGAGCAGGTCGGCAGCAGCTTCAAGAAAAACAAGTTACATTTTTATTGCTATCGTCACACGTGGCTATGACCAAAGGCCGTCCAGCCTAAGCCAACAGTCTTCGTGTTTCAAGCAGCATTGGACCCGAATAAAATTTCAGTGTGAACGACATAAAAAGCAGGACAGTCCTACAGAGCTCGTAACAGGAAGTAGATGGGGCCCCAGGAGGTGGCAGGACTCCCCAGCAAAGGAGCCCCATGCACACCTTGAGCCGTCCCCTCGCACTTACTTACCTGTGCACAGGCCACTGACCTACTGATGTGCCACCTTACACACCCAGCTCCCCCCACCTTCCAGCCCCCCCAGGGTGGAGGGAAGGCAGAGGGTCCAGCTGCTGGGTCGGCCATTCCTGCTAACCTCCAGCATAGAGGTTTGCCAAGAGAAAACCACTTAGTGAAAGATGAGAAAAGCATGGTTTTAGAGATGGTGTGGCCACCCAGCGGGACTCATCATCGCCCACCTTCTTCCTCTCGGGCAGTGTTAGCCAGGGGCTTTCGACAAACACCTTTATTATTTTAACAGAGTCTGTTGTCAAAAAAAACAGAAAAAGGTCTGGGGCGCCTGCGTGGCCCAGTGGGTTAAGTGTCCAACTTCGGCTCAGGTCGTGATCTCACAGTTCATGGGTTCGGGCCCCACATCGGGCTCTGTGCTGACAGCTCAGCACCTGGACCCTGCTTCAGATTCTGTGTCTCCCTCTCTCTCTCTCTGCCCCTCCCCCA